TTCCAGTGAGTGATGCATTACAATACATTACGGTTTATATTCAGTATTAGGAACATTGACAGAACAGGCAGTAGTTTACATTGTCTCAAATATTGTGGAATTGCCCCATATACTTGCTTAGGTAGACCATCCTATTGATAGTTATGAAAAGAGGTAGTAGATGATAAAGTGGCTTGTAGGGTAGAGCAAATAATTTTGTTCTAGTGGTAGTAACCTCTAGAACACTTGAACATTTACTCGGATAAGAATGTAGCAGCTCTGGGTCTTTAAGCATTAAAAATATTTTGGTCTAATTACTGAAAACAGACAGATCACTAACTGGGAAAACATTTTCTCACACAAAAGTAGCGATAAAGGACTGATCACAAAAATATACGGAGAACTGACGAAACTCAACAAAAATAAACAACCCCATCAAAAAATGGGCAGTAGAGCTAAAAAGACACTTCTCCAAAGAGGAAATGCAGATGGCCAACAAGCATATGAAAAAATGTTCAACATCACTCGTAATAAGGGAGATGCAAATTAAAAACACAATGAGATACCACCACACCCCAGTGAGAATGGCACATCTTCAAACAACTAGCAACAACAAATGTTGGCGAGGATGTGGAGAAAAAGGAACTCTCCTGCACTGCTGGTGGGAATGCAAACTAGTACAACCACTATGGAAAACTGTTTGGAGGTTCCTCAAACTGCTAAACATGGAGCTTCCCTATGACCCAGCAATCCCACTCCTAGGTATCTACCCAAAAGACACAAAAACACTGATTGAAAAAGATACCTGCACCCCCATGTTTATTGCTGCTTTATTTACAATTGGAAAAACATGGAAACAGCCGAAATGCCCAAAAGTAGATGACTGGATTAAAAAGATGTGGTACGTATATACAATGGAATATTACTCAGCAATGAAAAAAGAGAAACATATGTCTTTTGCAGCAACTTGGATGGAGCTGGAAAAGATCATGCTTAGTGAGATAAGCCAGAAAGAGAAAGAAAAATACTGGATGGTTTCACTCATAGCAGTATAATGGACCAGGCGAGAAAATAAAAAGAATGAACAACCATATACCAGAGACATTTTGTGGGGGTGGAGTGGGGAATGGGATCAAAAACGGGGGTGGGAGGAGAGAAATGCACGGGATTTGGTGATGGCACACGGGTGATTTGGTGATGGGAAACCCGCGGGGATTACAATCGAGATGGAAAAAAAAAATGTACAAAATGATGTAAAAATAAACTTTTGTAATTAAAAAAAAAGTTTTTGGTCTAAAACATTTATAGGATATTGTTGCCAACTATATCACTTCACCATAGAACCATAAAATGGCATTTGCTATTGCTTCAATAAGATGATGTCAGGAACTGCCCATGATGACTAAGGATGGTAACTTTGTTATCTATATCGGCTTCTCCCAATTTACTTAGCTTTTTTTTTTTTTTAAAAAAAAAAGATTTATTTATTTATGCATACAGAACTGGTATACAAGCCAGATGTGCAGGAGTGGTGAGAGCCTTCACCAGAAACAGAGTGGGGAGCAGAACAGGCAGATTGATGAAGTACACTGCTGAGGGGAGCAGTGGGTGGGTCAGAAGAGGTCTGCCACGCCATGTGGATCACCTCCCTGGCAGGGGATTGAACTTGCACAGAAGTCTGTGGCTAGCTCGCAGTGCTATGTTCTAACCCATTGTACCACCAGGGAGGGCCAAGGAACTTTTTTTTTAAAAAAAGATTTATTTATTTAAGCATACAGAACCGGGGTACAGGCCAGATGAGAGGGTGATGAGAGGATTCAGGGGTGATGAGAGGATTCATCAGAGACAGAGTGGGGAGCAGATCAGTGAAGTACACTGCTGAGGGGAGCAGTGGGCGGGTCAGGAGAGGTCTGCCATGCCATGTGGATCTCCTCCGGGGCAGGCGGGATCGAACTCATGCTGAAGTGGCTTTAGCTTCTTAGTGCTGTGCTTTAACCTGCTGGGCCACCAGGGAGGGCCCAGGAATAAGTAACTTTTTAATTGTTCTTGGCAGCAACTAAATAATTTTTTCTGACAGAAGTTGGCCAGTAAGTTTAGTTGCTTAAGGCTTTTCTTTAAAACTGTTAACTTACTCACTTTGATAAAAAAAAACACTATTTAATACAATTTCAATGTAAAAGGTCTCCAGATAACCTGCAGGTTATCAAGACACTAAGGATCAAAGGACCTGACTTGTGTGCAGTCATTTTAAATGTTCTAGCTCTAGAAACACATAAAATAAATTACTGAGGCTACAGGGTGCTCTAGGGCCTGTATGTATATGTGGGGACACATATGCTCTTGTGACTGTCCTTGCAGAAGTGAGAAAACAAGGTTCCCAAATTAGCTCCATTTTAATAATAAAAGTTGACAATTAAAATCTGTAACAGTCAACAAATGACCAATTGTTGAAGTGCCCAAAGTTCTTCAAGCAATCTGCTGTAACTCATATCATAGAAAAGTTCTTTCTGAAGAGATCTGAACTTTTTTTCTGTGACTGACTTTACTTGAAATTATCTTTTGGTGTCTTTGATACTTCTGATTCCTATCCTTCTTAAAACCTTTTCTTAATCATGAGTTTCTCTGGCATATCTCAACATAGGAGGTACAGATGTAATTTTATCCTAGATAGAAGAGTTCTTTTCTAGAAAGTCAGCTGAATGCTGAGCACTTAATCCAGTAGACTTTATGGTGTTAAGAATAAAGTTGATGATACTAGGGGAATAATGTAGTGATTTTAAAGTAAAGCTCTCTGTCACTTAAATTATTGTCACCTTGGATAATTTTGTATCTAGTTCCTTTTCTTATACCTCAAATGATTATTATAATTTGTAGAACATTATAAAGATTAAGATTCTTCCTTTTACACCTTTCTTATTCCTCTACTTTTTTTTAATTTTTTTTTCAGTTTCCCCTTTTTATTCCTCTACTTTTTTTTTTTTTAAGATTTATTTATTTGTGCATACAGAACTGGGGTACAGGCCAGAGGCTCAGGGGCGGAGCAGATCAGGCAGATAGACGAAACACACTGCTGAGGGGAGCAGTGGGCGGGTCAGGAGAGGTCTGCCGCGCCATGTGGTCACCTCCAGGGCAGGCGGGAATCGAACCCATGCGGAAGCTGCTTTAGATTCTCAGTGCTGTGCTTTAACCCGCTGCGCCACCAGGGAGGGCCCCTATTCCTCTACTTTTAATGTTCTGATTGAGAGTGCTGACACACAGGTAGGATTTTCAGTATCGTCCGCCTTTTTTCCAATGGATGAATTTAGATATTAATATAAGGAAGCAAGCATTTTAGACAGTCACATTCATAGGTAGAGAGGCATGAAATGACAATGCAAAATGAAGAAAATGGGGTAAGGTTCAAAAGGAGATCAAAGTCTGCCCACAAAAAGCTTTGGAGCTTTGCTGCATGCTTCCTTGGCCAACTTGTTAGCATGATGTCCAGGAATCTACTGAAAGCCAGCAGGCCATGGGAATCAGTGACAGGGAGGAATTAAGTCAGGAAGATGCTCCGTGGCCTGAGTATACAGTGTTATTCACAGTAGTAGAAGGACAGAGAGAGAGAGGGAGAAAAAAGGAGGAGGCAGTTAAGAAGAGAGGATGAGAACATAAGAACATAGAGGAAATTAATGAACCATCAGTTTGTTAGAGATTAAACTGTTGACAATAGCCAACTTCAGAGAAGAGAGCACACAGGTGGTAAGCAAGAGGATCTTTGAATAAGCAGGATGACAAATGACCTGGAGAAAATGTTACAAGTTTCTGGTAAGGAACAAAGTTATGGGCTCTTGGCAGAAAGGGTATCTATGTAATAACATGGCATCGTCAGAATGGAATACAATTAAACTTGGTTATCAGTCAGTAACTGTCAGAATGTGATGAAACTGATTTTTTTCATCAATAAATTGTAAATTTCTCCCAAATAGCTTCCTAAAGCAAATAGTTCATAAAGTTTTCACCCAACTGATAGAACTCAGTAAAAGTCAGGTAAATGACAGAGTCACAAAAACCAAGACATTTTAGTCAAGCACATTTTAGTCAAGTGAGGCTTTCACCTCACTTAGTAATGATGGCTAATCTGAGAGAGGCCATGGAGAAAACCATGTCAAGCCAGCCTGCATGATGATTTCCACACAGGTACTAGTCAGCTTTGGAAGTACTATCTTGAGAACTGTATTTAGGTGTCTAAGGCTAATTAAAGAAACAGGTGATTTAGATGGTTAAATCAAACCCTCTGGTTAGTTTTAAACTTAAATATTTGTAGAGGGAATACATGGAAGTGGGCCCTTTCTTAGGTGAAATTACTAACTTTTTAATACAAACAATGGCATTGCAAGGAAGCGCCAAAGTCCACCCTGTTCAGTTCATCATTTTAAAAATGAAGATATGGGGAAGGAAACATAGCCAGTCACTTAATACTGAGATGTGGCTCTTCTCATACATAGACTAGATAGCCTAAAAATAAAAATCACCAAAAGAAATGTCATCTAAGGGGATAAAGCTGATTTAGCTGTGAGGGATAAAGATGAGAACTGAAGCTTTTATTTTGAGATGGCAGCACTGTGGCCTGAGCCCCTGAAAGGATGCCTGTGTCCTGATGTGATACTGTGGGTCAGGATTGCATGGTCTCAGCTATAGTAAAGACTCTAAACTACTCCTGTATTTAAGTGTAAAGGCAAAGCTCCCTTGATTTAGATAATCGCAAAGTAACACTAAGTCATTTTTACAGACCTTCCAATTTTGAAAGTCAACACTTCCAAACTATGTGGATTTACAGAAACAGTATGAATAAGGCTAGTACTAGCACAAATTATGTTTTATTATAAACAGTGGCTGGGAGAAGTAGTATAGGGGTAGATAGTCTGAATTCTGTTCAACAAGTTTTAACAAATGCACAATTTTCTATGTTTCTTCTATTTGAAATAATGAAGTGATGGTATCTATGACCAATGCTATTTCAAATAAACAAAATCAGGTTAACTCAATAAATATCTTTTATTAAGGAAAAAAAAGGAATATTGTTAAGCACCAAAACTGTATGTTGTTACATTGCATGTATAAGAAGAGAAAGGTGACTGCAATATTTGATGTACGAGAACTTAACTCTGAAGTCATGAGTGTAAAAAACATGATGTACAAAGCAAAACAATAATTACATTGCAGAAAATTTGCACTACAGAGCAAAAGGCAACAGTCAAAACAATTATTGGAGATTTCATAGTATTGCTATAAATGCTTAGTTTTTTCTTTGTACTTTTAATACTTTAGAATGTTAATTGAGCATATTTAAGTATTGTAAATTTGCAAAAGTTGGCATTTACAATACATTGTACACATTGTCCATTTAATGTAATGGTGTTTAGCTGTCCTTAAAAGCCAAGCACAATGTGCTAGTGTTTTTTTGTTTCTACCTTTATAATATTGCACAAAGCTAGTAAATGGTGAATTGGTTTGCCATTAAATTTTTCATTTAACCAGAAAGGCTAAAAAACATGTCAGTTTCATTAGCCCTAAAGGGCCTTTTTCATGCAAAATTATCACTAGCTTTCAGTTTTTCATAAACTATATATTATGGTTTCACACTTAGTAAGACATACAGTACAATGAGAATTGAATGAGACAATGGGGATTCTGTCCAAAATGAAAAGTCAGAGGTCACTGTATGGGTTGTATTGTCTATCCTTCCTGGATCACAAATGAAGAGAAAATGCTACCTTTGATTGCGCCTTCTTAAAACCAACATAGTTAGTATTGGGAAAAGCTAAAATAACTTGTTACATTCTTTATTGTTAACCATAGAAATTGCAAATTATAAACAAACCCAACCTTCCTTTGTTAAAATTAAACTGTATAGCCAATACCCATACTTGCTGTGTACATCTAAATCTCACTTTCCACGGTGGTTCCTAGCCACTTTTAAATCCCCAAATTAAGTCTCAGTTACACTCGACTTAAAAACAAACTAAACTATCATAACCTACCTTCAAAATTAAGGTCTGACTGAGATTCAGTGTGAAACAACATTGATAAAATATTTAATATGTCAACCTCAGAGGTATTTTCTGTACATGCACCTTACAGTGGCATAATACATGTGTTTGAAGGAGGAGAGAAACATTTATTATAAATTTGGAATTCAGCCAGTTAAATTCATCAAATATCAAGTTGCACATTTACTGAAGGCAAAACAAAAATTTAGAATGAGCACATTTTGAAATGAATAAATGGGCAAAAATTTAAAATGTGCGCGCTCACACACACGAAGAGGGGGAAAAAGGGAGAGGGGAAGGAAATCCAGACTCTCACCTTAAAACAAACAAACAAACAAAAAAAAACACCTCTGTTTACATACATGATAGTTTAGGCAACAATATAAACTCATTTTGTAGGAAAAAATTTTAAATTAGTCTATATTTATAGGATAAAAAATACCATTGCTTCATTTTACAAAGCAATTAAGCAGAGACTCTTCTTTATGTGCTTTAATTAAAGAGCACTTTGCAGCAAAGTTCAGAAATAACTACTGAATACTGAATTATTCAGTAGCACTAAGTAAATGCAACATGCTCCAACAGTAAGGTGCTTCTACTTTCTTAACCTCTCTTAACATCTGAAATAAATCTTGTGGGTCATTTCTCTAACAATAAGCATAGTTCTCCTATGTTAAGCAATAACTGAGAAATAAAATGTTTCAAATGCACATTTAAATTTATATTATCATTTAAATTCAGTGCAAGAATTAGGTAAAACTTGTTAAGGTTTCTGCTTTCAGTTATCAAATGGCTGAATTGTAATAATGCATCTGCCATGAATTTTAAATGTTCTACAGCTGTTCAAAAAGACAAAGTTATTTATAAATAACTTGGTAAAGTATATGAAATTTCAACTCCCTGATAGGACCTTTAAGGACCCACTAGTAGTGAAAAAAACTTTTCTTAGGCTCAAAGCATTGACTTTTATATTAATTAAATACTGGTCCCTTTCCAAACAGAGAGGATGCTGCCTATTAATTTTTGTTTCATAATTTGAGAGTTTTAATTCTTAGTGCCTACTATGGCCAAAGTGTTTACAATTAAACATTTTTATGACGGATGTGGTCATGTCAGATGTTATCAAATACTGCTACATAGTTCAGCTTTGTAGAAAAAAAGTATTCCTCCACCCCATTATACAGAGTACATGAAAGTGCTGAAAACGTGCTATGATTTCAGGTAATAAGAAAAGCCCAATTCCCACTATGGAAATACTACATCCGATCAACTACTATAGGTGTGTTCAAGAGACCATTTAAAATTGCATTACAGAAATGTTTGTTTCACAACAAAAAATTAAGGGATGGTTGTCTTTATACTGCTCACAAACCCAGTAAGACTGTAAAATAAATACCAAATAAGCCACACTATTAGTCATATTTTAAAAACCCTCTTTAGCCAGGCATTTTCTCATACTGCTACACCACAATATTATAGCATTTTAAATAATTTGCAGTACCTTTTCTATGCATGCCGCATTGGTTATATATACATAATTTTGTTTACATTAGGAGAAATATTTAAAATTTTCTTTAAGTGAGCAGTAACAGTCCTCAAAAACATCCCCAGATCATCATCTATTTGTTTCCCTATTTTCAATATGCTGCGGCTCAAACTAGATTGGTAAATTACCTTCTAAACTGATTCAGCAAAAGCAAGCAGCTATTGGTGGATTCTTCATACAGAAATGGTATATTAACAGAAATACAACCATGAAATAATTTTAACCTATAGAGTATAGCTAAGTCTGGAACTGAAATTCATCTGTAAGTACCATCATGACTAAATTATATACAAAATTAATACTAAGACCAAAGATGTTCATTTTTACTAGGGGCAAGAAAAAAAATTTAACGATGGTTATGTACTTTTTGTTGGGTTCTGAATCAGCTTAAAATGAACACAAAGGTTCAACTGGTAATCTTATCTTTATGGTCAAATAGACCAGTGATTTGAAATTTTAATATTATTTGTGATAATGCCAAAGTTGATGGCCTGTGGTAATTTGTAATATTGGTGGAAGTAGGAACCTGAATCTCAATGCAGGAAAAAGGGTTTGTTGGAGAAAGTTACTAACCAGAGAATGAGCACAGCTGGCTGTTAACAAGGCTTTGCTTTATTTAACTTACTTATCCTCAAGGTGAGATAACCTTCTGAAGTGCTATAATGGCATGTGTTAAAAGCTGTGAATCTTGCTCCCCTACAGGATTTATAGGGAACTGTGTACCCTCCATTATTTGCGAGATTTATTACAACATGGCTCAAAATACCGAGCCTGTCTTTTAATGGAACCCTGGCCAATAAGACTAGCTAGGTAGCAAAACCCCTCTTAACAAGTTAAAGTTTGTGAATGTTTTTGCTTCTAATTTAACACTAGATCTTTCTGTATATTTCTAAATGCTAATAAATGAAAAAGAAAAACATCCAAAGGCATAATTAATACATGATTTTTTTTTAGGGTCTGAAAATTTACTTTAAAATATCTTAAATATATTAGCAATCAAACCAATCATTCTTTGGGTTACAAGTGAAGGTGTATCAGAAAAGAAAAATTACTTCCCCACAGCCCTCTTTGGGATAATGATTACATTAGATCTATTGCTTCTAATCTTCCTGTAAGAGGAATGAGAATGATGCCAGAATAAAACCAATGTATTGTGAAAAAGCTGTGCAAAAACTCCTAGTCCCATCAATAAGCATACTACCAACATTTAAGCAGAAAAATTGTTTTATATAATCTATTCCAAGAAAATTTTCACCCATAGTTAAAGGCAGTGACATTTTAAAGTGACAAAGGTTTGAACATTTCTTTTTCTCCAGGAACACCAATTCATATACATGGAGGACTTTATCATGGGACTGCTTTCTGATTCTAAATCAGAAAATTGCCTCAGAAGAGATAAAAAGCTCTTTTGGTACTTCAGTCCAGAGCTCCCTTCATATAAAGTCAGTTATCTGTCTTAGGCAGAATTACACTCTACAAAGTACTGTAAACTGGGCCCAGTATATCTGTTTTCATTCAGACCAACAGCAATCTTGGTGAGAATTCCTAACAGCTCTATTCATATAAATGCATCCTTCAGGACTCCTTTTCAGCACTTAAGAGATATAAACATATGATTAAAACTTCAGTGGCAGTAACAAAGGCTCTCCCCCAAAGTTCTACTTAAAGCGTATGAAGATGGTGAAATGTCAACAAAGGACTTTTCTACTTTTCTGCATATTCGTAGGGCACACTTTTTTTTTTCCACTGTGGAGCATAAAAATAAAAACTTAAGTGGTACATGATAGAAAGACTTATGCATCCCTATTACTGAATCTTGATTTTTGATTCTCAATAGGAAAGTCATGTGGAGTTAATAGTAATCAAGCAGTAATTCAAACAAAAGGCTAAAAATAATTTGAAATATCAAATTACAAAATATTGCTTTCCATAAAACAAAGCTGCACATGAAATTCAAACGATTATAAATTCACAATTATGAAGAGCTATTTAAAAGCATGGAAATTTTTACTTTGAAACCTTACAAAGAATAAGTGTGTGTGGTCTTCTAAAAATATGCCTTGTTAAATGTTATCATCTTGTGGTAAACACATTCATAGGTATATCTCCATGTTATGTATCTTTTCAGATGTTCAACATCTTTATGAAAATTCCTTTGGAGATGAGTAATATGGAAATTTTCAGTGCATTTCCATCTGATTTTAATTCCTGTCCTACAGCTAGCATAATAAACTTCTCTTTCAGAGTGTCACATTGTTTATATAAGCCGATAGGGAAGAAGTTATATATTTTCAAGCAGATCATTATTCAGTGCACTGAAAGATGGATTTCAAAGCTGTCCCAATACAGCACACAGTAGATCTCTGTCAACCAAATGTTTTTCCAATTCATAGTAACCCCTATCTTAACTGGCCACTAAAAACATGTAAATGGGTGGACAGGATAGGAAGGTGCTTAAACAACCAGGAATCTCCAGAAGGTATTTTCTTCATAGCAGTCAGGAACATTGCACGTCTAAAACTTAACCACAATCTATTGGAATGACTGGAAAAGTATTAACTTGCCAATTGTGCTTCTTTTTTTTTCACACCACTGAGGCCATTTTGGATCTAATCCAATTGTGAAACCAAATGATTAAAATTTTGTTTTCCAAAAGAATAAGAACCAATCTTCAACTGCAGGTATTTTTTCTTCTTTCTGTTAAGTCACCTGTTCATAAACAAAATAATATAGTGTATTAAAAAGCTTGACCTATTAAAGATAGTGTGTAAACAGCCAGGATGAACAGTGTGGCTTATTCTTATAACTGGCAAGTTATATTGCTAGTTAACATTAAAAAAAAAAAAAGGACAGGGTTGCAGTCTTAAAGTAATAGAAGTTAGTTAAATTTGGACGTTTGATCACCATTTTAAAGGCTGTATTTCAGATTCATTTTTACTTTTACTCTTTAACATTTTAAATTAAGACTTTATACTAAAAAGAAAAATGCAATCTAAACTATTTGCCCCATCAACTGCCAGTGTAATATGAAATATTTATTACACAGCATCTTTTAAATTCATTAGAGCAATTTTTGTTATACTGACATTTAGAAGATACAATCAGCCTGGTCTTTCAATGGTGGCCTTACCAGGACTTTTAAAAATTCAGAATAGTTGTTTGAGACCTATAAGCTTACCTATCTATGTCACAGGAACATAAGCACATAAAAGTCCTACTTTTCAGATAAAAGCTGGGAGACACATGTATAAAGTGCCAACTTATTGTACTTCTGGATCATCCAATATTGTAGATATAGGTAGCTATTGTACACTTGAAATTTAGCTAATGTAAGGAAGAAATTGAATTTTTAATTTAACTTATAAATTAAATTTATGGCGCATTATAAAATCTTTGCCTATTAAATATGATTTTATTGCTTTGGTAAGGACATTTCACTGTAACAACTGAATACTCAATGTCCAAACTGTTATGTGCTACTAGTAAATATAAAATGTACAGATTAAAACAGTACAAAAAAGGTAAATTACATCAAGACTTTAAAAAAAATATTTACAATATGTTTAATGATACTATTTTGGATATATCACATAAAGTAAATATTAACAAATCAATTTCACCCATTCCTTTTTAAGTGATTCATCAGGAAAATTTTTAAATTATCTGTAGCTCATATTGTATTTCTATTAGATAGCACCATTTATACTTAAAAAATATGTTCAAGAAGCTTGTGGTAAAAAAAGTGAAACTCAGTTAAGTCTATATAATTACCTTATTTTCTTACAGGGATACTATTTATTCCCCTTCAAGGACACTATTACTATGACTACTTCTGGGAAGAGTTTTTATAGGAGGAGAGGCAAGAAAATGGACCTTTACTTTTTATTCATCCAGTTTTGAGAGTTGAGCTCTTTTACACAAAAAAGTATTCAATTAATGATCTGGAAATCTACAATAAATGTAATAACAGGAAATATAAATTATAGCCTTTTTAGTCATATGATGAGGAGTATCTAAAAGTGCAATCTTAAAAAATGACTTCAAAAAAACACACATACAGGAGTGATAGACTTTTCTTACCAGTGCCCACTCAATGTGTTGAACATGGGAATTAAAACTAGTCTATGGTTTGCTTCCAGTGTAGGATATATGCTGTCTTTTAAAAGTGACTTTGCAGGTTACCAGAGTTCATGTACTTTCTCATAGTATTTCACTGTTTCTCTTAACTTAACTACACACACAAGTCATAAGAAACAGCCAAAAAAAAAAAAAAGTTTGGGGAATTTTCAAAGTGGTATTCATCACGGATTATATTCTTACTATTTGATATAAGGTCAAATTAACAGCCAAAAGTTATAAATAACATTCCAGAATATATGAAATGCTATACAACATCTGTAATGTTTGGCTAGATCTGTGGCTTGGGAGAAGATAAGCAGAGATGGGCTAGTCTAAGTAGCTGCTGGTGGCCATGTACCCTGAGTGGGCCATTCAGAGTAAAGTAGCTTCAATGAAAGAAATAAAGGCTCATTTTATATGAAGGCGCAGCTGTGGGATCAACTATTTAGAACTAGTATGGTAAAATTAGACAGGCTTAGTAGCTTACTGAGAAGTTACAAGCAGAAGACAAGGTAATAGACAGTAATAAACATTGTAAAATGGGAGGCAATCTACTAGTATCCAGTGGGAAGATTCCCAGTCAAACATACCTGAGTCTCACACATTGAGCAAGACACCTGATGTATTTCCTTTACTCACCATAGTATACATATGTATAAGCACAAATGGTTTGACATTATTTTGGGATCTAGGAATGTAAGTCATAGTGAATGAGAACAAGCCCTCCATAAAACAGCAACAAAGAAAATTGATACCCAACAGCCTAAGACCCACATCTACGCAAGTGGTACTATTGAATGTTTGCTGAAGCATATTAAGCGCAACACACAACCACTTATCAAGAGAAATGTGCCCTCCCTCTCATTTGTTAATATACTGATTGATGAAGGTAATTGATAAAAAGGGGTACAGTAACATTTTCCTAACAAAGCAATCCCCAAAGGAACATAATTTCTTTTAGTAACATTATATTTGATATTTATTATCCAAAATAGTATCTATCAACATGAAATTAGTATTAAAAATTAATGACAGTTTACCTTTCTTTTGCATTAAGTCTTCAAAATCCAAATGTATATCTGCATATGTATCTATATATACATATATATGTATATGTACACACACACACACACACACACACACACACACACACACACACACACACACACACACACACACACACACCAGTCATGATCCTTGGAGGGAAGGCCAGAAATCTCTATTTTTGAGGTCCCCAGGTTAATTCTTATGAGCAGGCACATTAACAATTACTATGCTAATGAGTAGGATAATTATGTCTTTACTTACTGCAGGATTATGAGTCTTCTTCACCTTTGGTAAATGTTGTAAAGTCCACAGAAACACATTCCATCAGGACCACATAACAATATGTTTGCATACTTTATATGCAAACACACTTTATACTATTTCAGTTATTACCAATTCTATGTATTATGTAATTTACAGCATGTGCTACTGTCATGATTCTGTAATTTAGCTAGTTTGTGCCACATTATTATATAATTAGCTTATTAAAATGTAGTAGAGAAGAGCTCTCAATTACCTTAGGAGAATGCCAAACGTGTAACTAACATCCAGGGTGTTCTCAGTAAGATATGTGTACGATTTTTATATATTATATTTTAGCAGCAATTTAGAGACTGCAAAGGTATGAGGTGTTTTAAAATGATAAACCTTAGTTTATCAATACAACAATTTTTCATGACTGATCTTAGGAAATTACTTTGAGGGCTGCTAATTACCATCAACGTGTGTAAGAGCTTGTAGTCAAAATACTTTAGGTTGAAAAGTCTTTGTTTTTTATTCTTTTATGTTTTTTAAAGCTAGAATATGACTGCCACTGTCCTTTTTACTTGACATATAGCTATACTGCAGAAATTTTCAATAAGCAGGATATAAAAACCTATCATTTAAATAGAAATATCTTTGAAAGTGCTTTTCTGTTAAGTTTTTAGTATCTATGGAATTAAAACTTGAAGTTTGCAGATTTATGATCCATGCTATAATTGAACAATATATAATTGAACATGCTATAATTGAACAATATAGTAAATAATGACGCTCAAACCCAATAAAATGTAACAGACCTATTTTCTATATAAAAACTGTATTATTGAATGCTACTGAAGAAAATAAGACCATTTACTTGTTAGTTTTCCCAGTCTGTGCAAGGCAAAGCCTCTTCTTCATCCTCTGACTCGGGGGATGCTTCTTTGATTCTTCTAAGAGCCTCATGGATGCTCCGTGTTAGAGGGTCTGTGTCAGGTAGAAGTGTGAAGGATTCTCTCAAAACTTCCTTCTGTACCTTCTTCAATTTTACCCCTTTCCTTATTTGTGCCAAAATATTATTACTGTCATCTTCATCAGGAAAAGGAGGCAGAGTTCGCTGTTCAACCTTTTTCAGATGAAAACTACCACGCTTCAAGGAAGCTAGCACCTCATCCATGGGTGAGCTCACTTTTGAAAATAAGAAAGAACAATCACAATTAGGAGTATCATAGATGAAGCCTCCCAAAGGAGTTCTATAATGTACCAGCCCAATCTAAATGTAAACAGGAACTGCGTTACACATTTAATTTAAAAAAAAAAAAAAAATTGGCCCATTATGCTCTTTTAAAAATTTAGTTGTTTTACATATGAAATGCTAATTGGGTAGGGAAAGAAATACTTTTACAGGATGGTCTTTCATAATAAAAAATAACATGCGACTTGTTTTTATAATATTCTCCCTATGCAAGCTAAAGCTTCTTGAGAGAAAGGATTATCCACTTTTCAAAAATAGCCTCATAGGGCACATCTAGCACACAATAAATTGTACACAACAGTTGCTATTCTTCTTTGCTTCTTTATACAAAACTTAAACTCAGGTCCCGAATAAATATTGGTCAGTTGTTACGTGGTCCTGCCAATGTCATATCAGTCCTGACCAGATTGCTAACCTTTTCTGACATTAATATCATTTTTCATTTCCCAAGGTTAAAATCAGATTTTCTTTGTAACACAAAAGAAGTGACCTATCTGTATAGTAAAGTATCACTTGCGAAGATACACTTTTTAAAAACATGCCTAAAAGCTTAAGAAAGTTCATGTATCTGTGCCTGCACATTTTCTGATTTGGGTTTGTTAGAATCTTGCCCTGCCACAACCCTTACAACTGTTTGCTATCAAATAATGTTCAAAAACACATTATTTTAAGCTTTGTAAGGTCCTATGAACTAAAATGTCCTATCAAATAATACATTACTTTATTCAAACAGATGGCCACAAAACATCTTTTTAACTTACCTCTCCTTCTCTGTAAACCTTCAGCAGTCTTTTTGAGCTTCTTCCTTGCACTGACCAGCTGACTGCTGTCAAAGAGATGTGCCGAGGGGGCACTTGCAGACTTTGGGATCCTCTTCTCATTCCCCTCCATTCTTGGAAGACCTTTCTCCAGTGTCTCTGGGGTACTGTCCTTACCAACAGGCAGCGGTGGTGGTGGTGGGGGAGGGGGAGGAGGAGGCGGTGGAGGAGGTGGTGTTGGAGGAGTAGGTGATGGGAGTGGATCTATGGTCATAGAACCTGGTTCAAGTTCAATATTATTCATAAGTGGAAGAGATACAGTGGGAGGCAATTCAGAGGTAACACCACTGAGAGGTAATGAAGTGGCTTCAAGTTGTGCTAATGAAGTATCAGGTTGTGTGAGGACTTGGGCATCTGTTACCTGTGATGACCCAAGCTTGCCTTTTTCTTCCTCTGCCTCTTCACTTTTCTCTTCTACCTGTACAGCTCCTGGTAGAGAATCACACTGGTTCTCACAGGGCACAGGACTGGCTGCACTTCTTCTTCTTGCATGAGCCAGTCGCAGTCTGGTTGATTTCAGAATAACTTGGCCAGGGTACCTCTAAAAAAATCAAGTTATTATTACTGGTTAAATTGTAGTAAACAGCTGTTTTTGCTTTCAACTGTGAGATGTTATTTTTGAAGCTTTTGTGAGTTCAGGGAAAATTCTTTAATAAAGTTATATATACAACCAGACTACAAAGCATGACACCTTTCAAATACGTCACTAAATGTTATTACCAAATACTTTATTGATACTTACTCCTCTTATCCACTTAAGAAATTAACTGTTCAAAATCACATATGTTTTTGAAGGTGCACTACCAAAATTTATGTAGTATAATTAACTAAAATTCTACTTATAAAAATTTTATCAGTTTTAAAAATCTCCCGGATAAGTTGCTAATTTAAATGAAAATAGCAATATAAAACAAAAGTGATCTCAAACAAACATATGCTATCAGTATATAGGAAGTTAAACTATTAATATTTTGCATGCATCCCAAATACTTATAAAGTTACTAAAACATTAATTTTCTTTCCAAAAGGTTACTTGGCATTAAAAAACAAAACAAAACTCTGAAAACAATGTGCATTTTACAATAGAAGAGATAATGAAATATATTTGGAGTTCTTATATACCCAACTCTCATTCTTTATTTTTATAGCAAAACCATTGCACTAATACAATGTATTAATACAATCTTTACTCAACACAGGTTTCTCTTTGTGTTATGGACCGCTTTTCACCTTACCCCACCTTTCATTATGAGGACTTGAACAAAAGCATTCTTTACAAACTATTAAGTGATCTATCAGCACAGATCCAGGTTCCTGAGCAATTTAGCAAGTAGAACCATTCAGCATAAGCACAGTTCCAAGGGAATGTCTACGTGCTGTGATAATCAGTATCCATAGTCATGGGTTAGCCAGGCAAGAGAACTTCTAAAGCATCTTTCATGTATGCTGATCCAATCTCTAATTTGATCACTGGTCATGTCCAAAATTATTATCACAGGTTGATATATGTGGAATTAAGAACAAACTGATGCTTGTGAGCTTGTAAGACTCAGGAAGAATCTAGGCTTCTCAGAGGCCTGGCCAGTCTTCCTGTACTATACTAATGTGGTAAGCTAAGAGAGTGTACTAATTCTGGAAACAACCAAGTGGAATATAATCATGTAATAAAAACATTGATTTTAAAAAATTTAAATGACTGTGACAATAGTTACAATTGTTTTCTAAACAACAGGTGGAAAAATAAGTTTTTTTTTCATACAAAGAAATCTTATAATAGGAATATGTATATATAATTCCTTTTAAAAAGCAATGAAAACCAATTGACTATACTTTAATTACCTGTTTAAAAGTTCGAAGTCTATCCAATGTTCTCTGTCTTTCTTGGCTAACCCAGGCACTTTTTTTTTCTTCTTCATCATGTAATTTTTCTCTTTTCTGGTAAAACATGAAAAATAAAACATGAATAATGTCCCATTCATTTTTACTGGTAATAGGAAAAAGAGAGTTCTCACAATACATAAACTGGATGACTTCAAAGAATGGCATGTTAAAATGTCCTATAATATGAAATATTCGTTTTTTTTTTTTAAAGATTTATTTATTTGTGCATACAGAACTGGGGTACAGGCCAGAGGCTCAGGGGCGGCGAGAGGCTTCACCAGAGACAGAATGGGGAGCAGAACAGGCAGATCGAGGAAATACACTGCTGAGGGGAGCAGCGGGCGGATCAGGAGAGGTCTGCCACGCCATGTGGTCACCTCCGGGGCAGGCAGGAATCGAACTCATGCGGAAGTGGTTTTAGATTCTCAGTGCTGTGCTTAACCCGCTGCGCCACCAGGGAGGGCCGAAATATTAGTTTTTAATAGGAATCATTTTAAAATTCACAATAATATGTTGACAAAAATATTTATTTTGCATTTACTCCATTAAAGCTATCTATTTTGCAAAATAAACTGAAATACTCTCTAAGTTAGAAAATGTTTCATTTTTGGAATTCTGGCTTAAACAGTTTTAGTATGAAATATGTGCAGCTGTTATAGTTTGCTAACTCAAATTGTGACCTTAAAAATAAAACCAGCTCAGGCCTCCCTAGCACTCTCCCTAAGGAGAGTTTTGAGGGGTTAAAGCCTCAGCACTATCAAACTATCAAAAACCACTCAGGCCTGAGTTCGACCTCCTGCCAGGGAGGTGACCCACATGGTTCAGAGGACCTCTCCTGTCTCACCTGCTGCTCCTCTCAGTAGTGTATTTCAGTAGATTCACCTATTCTTCTTCTTACTCTGCTACTCCCCTTTCTGTCTCTGGTGAATCCTCTCACCTTGCACCTCTGGCCTACACCCCAATTCTTCTATGTAGATAAAGTATTGTTATTAAAAAAATAAAACCAGCAAATACTTGGCCAGTAATTTAATGATTGATTTATTTATGTTTACAGAACTGGGGTACAGGCCAGAAGTATGGTTGTTGAGAGGATTCACCAGAGACAGAATGGGGAACAGAACAGGCAGATCTACTGAAATGCACTGCTGAGGAGAGCAGCGGGCAGGTTAGGAGAGGACTGCCATGCCATGTTGGTCAGCTCCCTGGCTAGGGATCGAACTCATGCTGCAGTGGTTTCTGAGAGCTTCATAGTGTGGTGCTTTAACCTGATGAGCCACCAGGAGAGCCCCATTGGCCAGTAATTTAACTATTACATACTTAACACTTCCAACATTATACTTGAATCATTTGACTTAATATCATAGCCTGTAGTTAACAGTTACATGTACAGAAATTTAACATTTTTATGTTATTGAATTACCTAAAAAGCTATCTAATTAAATTTCTTTTATAGATGGGTAAATGGGTTATGGCTCTATTTTTCTGCTTTGTTTGATAAGACCAGGTAATTTCACATGCTACTTTAAAAACTCTTCTGTTGTGAACATTGTTAATTAATAGCTCCTAAAAAATAGCTTCTAAAAATGATGGTCTTAACTTGTTTTTCATTCATCAACTGTCCCTTCAAATTCAACCCTCCATTACTTTTATTCTGTTGTCTCTTTCTTCTTTCCCACCAGCACTTCCTGAACAATATAGTTGAGAATGTGAGTTACCACTACATTTGCCTTGAAAGATTATGTCAAAATCTAAAAGATTGAACTGAATCTTCAGACTGAAAGTGTTTTATCAAGTTTTAGGAAAAGTTAATATACAATGATCACTTGGTATATTTACTAGATTTCCACATAAAGACACTTAGGGATGTCCAGCATGTCAAATCTTACAAGTAGTCAAGAGGAAAGAATGCCATGAGACTTCAGCCCTCTGCATTCAATCTTTAAAGCTATAAGATAGCAGAGCAATGTTTGCAAAATTATGATGAAGAGGAATTAGGACTGTATTACCTAGAAAAGTGTCCTTTAGGTATAAAGGAAACATTCCCCAAGCACCCTCCCAGAATTCATAGTTATGGCAACCATGCAACTTCTCTGATATAGCATCTTAATGAAACATTACCAACTCCAGATGAATCAAAACAAACCTGGGAATAGAGAAGTCATAAGAGGACTGACACTAAGCACTGAATCCACTTACAAAAAATGACCCCAAACAACTTTAGGATTCTATGAATTAACTGAATCTTTACTGTATGAAATAAAGAATATTAAAGTTTTATCACTATATTTAGATTGTTAAGATTTATAAAATATTGAAAGGTGGAGGGAAGGGGAAGTTGGAAGAAAGTACAAGGGTAATAATTTCTTCATTTCATAAACCAAGTCTAAAGTTGAAATAATGTTAGAAACTATGATCATAACACTCAAGTGTTTTTCCAAATCTCTTGTTATAGTTAACAAGTTTATCTAAGTTCCAGTAGTTTTTTCAGTCTCATTAAAGTTATTCTATTAAAAGAAAAATCCATTTTGGCACTGATTTTTTTTCTTTTATAGCTTTTTTTCTGTATTGCTTTAATTTTTTATAATGTTCACATACCTTTTATAATTTTTTTAACATACATAAATGACTAAGAATCTTTTTTAGAAGCTATTAATTAACAGTGTTATAACAGAAGAGTTTTTGCAGTAGCAGTGAATAAATGGTTAGGAAGTTTTTAAAAATCTAATGTAGTGACCAAAATTTGTATACAGACATCAAGATAGCCAACCACTTTTGAAAATACCCATCTTGCTCAGGTAATAGGATTATATTTGGAAACATTAAGTAAAAAAAAAGAAAGAAAAGAAAAATTTTTAAGATCATGAACTAAAAGAAGTAACATAGTATGTTAAAATATCATCTAAGACAGTAATGTGGCAGGGAAAAAGTTAAGGTAAGGAAATTCCATTTTTTATAGAACATTTGGTGACTACTTGTCAAATTGGGTAGTATATTAAGCTCAAACAAAAAAAAGATGTTGAGGTAGAGCAGGCACGCTACGTAGGGTTTAATGCAATCAAGCAACAAGGAAGAAACCAGAAAACTATGTCACATGTCAAAAATATTTGCAAATGGCTTATCTATGAAAGGCCTTATTTATGAAAGGACTTAACTAGAAATATACAAAAACTTCTTAAACCTTAACAAGAATTAAGCCAATTAAAAATGAATAAGAAATGAATAAAAGATCTGAATAGACCTCTCACTAAAAAAGGACATAGACAGTTAATAAGCATTATGAAAAAAATATTCAATATCATACTAATCAGGGAATTGTGAACTGAAATAAACATGAGCGGCTACTACACATCTAGTAGAATGGGTAAGATGCAAAAACAACGACACAACCATATGCTGGTGAGAATGTGAAATAATACGAACTTTCAATCATTACTAAGGGAATGAAAAATAGTACACCACTTTTGGAACACAATTTGGCAGTTTCCTACAAAATTAAATACACTTTTACTATACAGTGGAGCAATTGTGCTCCTTGGTATTTACCCAAAAGAGTTGAAAACTTATGTGTGCACAAAATCCTGCACAGATATTTATAGCGGTTTTATTCATAATTGCCAAAATTTTGTACCAGTCAAGATGTTTTCCAGTGGCAAATGGATAAATAAACTGATACATTCATTCAATATTATTTCATGTTAAAAAGAAATGAGCTATCAAGCCCTATGAATAGACACAGAGGAACTTTAAATCCATGTTACCAAGTGAGAGCAGCCAATCTGAAGTCTACAAACTCTGATTCCAATTATGCATTCTAAAAACAGCAAAACCATAGAGATAGTAAAAAGATCAAATATTAGTAGAGGTTTGGGGAGAGATGAGAGTGATGATGAGAGTGAACAGATGAAGCAGTGGAATTTTTAGGACAGTGAAAATACTTTGTATGATGCTACAATGGTAGATACATGTCAGTATACAATTGCCAAACCAATGGAATGTACAACACCAAGAAAGAACCTTAATATGGACTTTGGTTGATAATAATGTATTTAGATAGTAGGGGAACTTAGGTATTTGTGGAGTTATATGGGAACTGTTTGTATTTGCTACTTAATTTTAGTTAAAGAAATAAAATACATACCTATACTTATAGTCAACTAATAACTAACATTTATCAACAGTTATAACAATTTCTTGTTCTCTACAGGTTCTATTCACTTTTGAGACATGTAAAAACTGAAACTTTGCTCTAAGTTTCCAAGAGTCAGTACTTACTAGTTGTATTGTGTGGTGGGTTCTATATTCATCTTCACTCCGAAGTCGCTGCTGGAATTTCTCGTTGTGTTTTGCGATACAAATTTCCTATAAATACATAAAAGGTTATTTTTAATGTAAATGAAACTTGGAAAGTCTCAAGTTTAAAGTTTAATCTTAACATATACCTATGTACACACAATATCATGTAAGTTATCTCTGGGTCCTTATCTGGTTGAAGATTAACAAATAATCAGGTTTTAAAGATTCCTCTATTAAATAATTAGCTTCTCTACAAGTACTGGTCTCTCCATTTTTGAGAGGGGACAGGGAAAGGTAAAATGAGTAAGATGGAGTGCCTTAAATAGTCTAACGGGTGCCCTTAGATAATCTCAAAGAATTCTTTCAGTTAAGTCTATGGTCAGAAGATTCTAAGACTTATTACACACTTAAATTTGAGGGAAAAAAATACATACAACTCTGGGTTTAGGTCTATATTCTGAGGTGCTCTCTAATGTGTGATTTTTTCCAAGACTTAATTTAAATCTGAATCTTCTTTTGGGTTATATACTTCAGAGCTCAAAGAGACTTAAAGATTAGAAAAAATAACAAAAAAATAAAGGTATAGTTATTCTAATAACTATATGAAAGTAAATATAAAATAGGAGATATGCACTTATTCACAAAATAATTCACTGTCATCTGGCAACTTTTTAGTGGCAGCCATGCAGTTTTCATTTCCCCTGTCCTTCTAGAGAAGACTTCTCACTAGTTTCCAATACTTTCAGTTATACCAAAAGATCACTCTCCTAAGCAGAAAAAGTTATATAATGATCTTATAAGCCAGTAAACTATATTTTAAGGCAACTGGTATATTACATTCTTTACTCTTGGTGGGAATGTCACTTGTGAAATCAATCTGTCTAGGGTAGTCTCCAGGGGAAAACAAAGGTATTGATGTATATGATGACATAACAGTAATATAATGACTCAAGACTTTTAAGTCTTAGTCCTTGGCTAATTTTCTTAATTACTGGAAGTCTTGGTTCCTTTAGTTGTAACATGATGTGGTCAGAACTACCCCTGAGTATGTTATCCTATTATGAGTGCCAGATAAATCAAGGGAATGGTGACTGTAGGCATACTGACATGCAGATGACAAGGAATACAGGAAGATATTATATAGAAAAAAAGTATATTTTGTTTATTTTACGATTGATTCTATTTTCTATTTTAAAAACTTAGAGTTCCTAGTCTCCTTTCCTCTATTACTTCTGCCACCTTGACTGGAGGGCTTGTGAAGTTGGTGGCAGAGATAAGACTTAGAGTCCTCTGACTCTTGAGTGATGTGATGAGTAGTGGATTTATGGCTGCTGCTGTAAATGTGTGCAGGTTCTTTGGAGTTTAAGTTTCCTACTAGACTTAGGTTAATCTAAGACTGAAAAGTGATGAATATGGGTAAATATTTACTCACTGGTAAATACTAAGTGAGTATTTACCAATGAGGGAAGAATTAGGTATGATTCAACAGTCAGTAATGCTAGAAGCTCTCAGTGATCTCAGATATGAATATTTCTTTCTTCTTTAACTTCCCTGAAGGACCTCATGCTGCTGTCCACCTTTGTTTTCTTTCACTTCTTTACTTTCTGCTTCTCATAACTGACAATTATTCTTTTTTTTTAATAATTAGTTTTAAAGATTTATTTATTTATGCATTACAGAACTGGGGTACAGGCCAGAGGTGCAGGGGGTGGGGGTAAGAGGATTCAACAGAGACAGAATGGGGAGCAGAACAGGCAGATCAACAAACAACAAAGTACACTGCTGAGGGAAGCAGTGGGTGGGTCAGGAGAGGTCTGTGCGCCATGTGGGAGACCTCTGGGGCAGGGATCGAACTCATGCTGAAGTGGCTGAAGCTTCTTAGTGCTTTGCTTTTAACCCGCTGCGCCGCCAGGGAGGGTCCTTATTTTTAAGGTTTTTTAAATTTTTATTTGTGCATACAGAACTGGGGTACAGGCCAGAGGTGCAGGGGGTGGGGGTGAGAGGATTCAACAGAGACAGAATGGGGAGCAGAACAGGCAGATCGACAAAGTACACTGCTCTGCTGAGGGGAGCAGCAGGCGGGTCAGGAGAGGTCTGCCGTGCCATGTAGGTCACCTACAGGGCAGGCAGGGTTTGAACTCATGGGGAAGTGGCCTTAGCTTCTTAGTGCTGTGCTTTAACTCACTGCACTACCAGGGAGGGCCTATTCTTTCTCTTTTATTTCCATTTAACCACATTTTCAAAAGTTCCCCACCCCATCAAAGCTAAGACTCAATTCTGTCTTCTGGTATCACCTCACCCTCTTAAGAGGTTCATATTTTCAACTATGTCTCATGGTCACTTCCACCTAAATACCTCATAGACCCCTAATAAATCTAAAACGTGACTCCTCACCTCTAAATTCTATGTATTTCTCCTCTGGGTTTTCTTATGCAATGCCTGATCTAGAAATCTGAAAGTTATTGCAGAATAGCTCCTCCTCTCTCCCCTCACCACATTATCACTCAATCCTAGTGAATACTGGAAAGTGTCAGACCTGGACACATCTAAGATTTGTCTATTCACTTTAGTTCATACTTAGTATTTCAACCTGGATACTAACTCAAGTCTTTTTTCCTCTAAATTATTCTTCATGTTGCCTCATTTTTCTAAAATATAAACCTGCTTTTATTACCCCTTTGCTTTAAACTTTTCTATAACTACAATATTTTCAGGACAGAGTGCAGGCTTACTGAAACATTATACAAATTCCCCATAACTCAGTCTTACGAAGTATAGTGCCATGATACACTATGCTGTTACATGTCTTTGTGAATACAACTTTTTCTGTTTTGAGTTACCCTTACCCTTATACTATCAACCTGCCAAATTTCTATTCAGACTCAAATTCCAGCCCACAGGGCCTTTCTTCATTCCCCTTTCTCTTATTCAGGTGTCAGGTGGTATCACATTCATCTGTTGATCTGGTTTGCCTTTTTTATAAAACTGGGAAAAGAAGAACTGTGCTTTGCTCATCATTGTAACTCAAGTCTGATGATGTGCTTATTAGCAGACTGTTACATTGAACTGAATCATTTCTGAAAGTCTGATGTGTGTAATACTTTTAAAAATGTTCTCAAAAGCTTCCAGGCTCACACACTCCATCTAATCTCAAAAGTATTGCATTTAAAAAAATGTAAAACAGTGCTTCCAGAATTCATAAAAAGTATATTATTAAAAAATCTTACTTATATTTCATTCTTCCCTACAACTTTTCTCTGTGCTGTCTACACTACTCTATACTGTACAGTGTTAGAGTTTGCAGGAATCACCAACACTGTATATTTGGTAGGTACAGAGGGGCTCCTCATAACTGCCAAGAGTAGAGCTAATCTTGTGTTGTGGAACTGGAAAGGTTCCATGTGAACTGTGAGAGAGCCATGGCTCTGGGTGCTGTGTGGATGGGCAAGTGTCTTGGATTTCTGACATACTGTGGAAGATGCCTACTTATAGTTTCTGCAATATATAAGAACTATTATTTGAAATAGTCAAGGGCTTTGATTTTCTGTGGTATATGAAGAATAGGCAGGTAGATTCTCAGAGAACATGTCAGTCACAGATGACACACTTTTGTCTGAATATATGAGATCAAAGTAAATCAGTACCACATAATTATCAGTTTGGTATAGGTCTTAGAACTGGGTCCAGATTTCAAGTCCACACTTACAGTAGCTAAAATCAACCTTATGATAATGTGGACTACAAAGGAAAGCATTTTTCTAAGACAAAGAAAATCTTATTTCCACAAGATGATTCATTCCAAATTACTATGAATGCATAAAAATTTTAAAATGTGATCAAAGTGACAAGTGAGTAAATAATCTTCAACACTGAGAAAACCACTGGCCTCCTTAAATAAAGAAGAAGCTAGGAATTCTATTACATGGGATCCCATAGTCACTTTCTTTAATAAAGTCATGTTTAATGTGGCTGAGGTGAACAGCATACTACCACTAGCTATTCTAATGTGTTTAAGACAGCAATTCTCAGAAAACTAAGTATGTTTAATGTAATGGCCTGAATACTGAGAAGAGATGACTCTTAATTCCATGAGATATGCAAGTGTTGTTAATGAATTGGGTGAGAATTATATTTAATCTATTTTACCTTTTTATTTCTGAGGTAGGCTTTCTTGGCTGAAACCCGTCCACGTCTTGCTTCTAGTTGGCGTGCCTTCTGCTGAAGTTTCTGTAGCTCCTCTCTTTGTAAATGCACAGATGCTGCCATCTCCTCCTTCTCCAGCATGGCTTCCATGCTTTCATAAGTATCATAGTATACCACTTCATCTCTCTTTTCTGTTACAGAATAGCAAACAAGGTGTGGTTAAAAACAAGGGATGTGAGACCAGACAGAATAGATACCAAACTAGTTATTGGCTCTACAACTTCTTAGTCAAAGCTATTACCTTTTGAGTGTTTTGGTAAAATAGTGATTAAGAAATACACCTCATAGGGTAAGTGCGTATATAAAGAGCTTAGCAGTGCCTGGAAAAGTTAAATAATCAATAAACATTAAAATTAATCCCCTCCCACAAAATTAATAATTTTGAGAATCTGGATTCTGGAGGAAGCAATCTTTACAAAAAAAAAAAAAAGTTAATTTACAAAGGATGTAACGTACTTTCATTGCTGAGTCTACTAAAGTACTTGTTGGACTTTAGGATCTCCTTTCAAAGGTTTTACTTTTTTTTTTTTTGCCTCCTCAGAAGAAACATATTCAATACCTAATATCCAGGTACATTTTTCTATGTATTAAAGCTTATGTGGACTTACATAGTTAAATGCAAACCATACCTGATATGAGTCTTTTGATGCTTTCCAGTTGTGCTGTCAATAGTAATTCTTCACACTTCAAGATCTCAAACTGTACTTCATACAACTGAAGTTGCAGATCATAATAATCAGCTTCTAACTGATCTAATCGGGCTATGGCTTCTGTACCACCCTGTAAACTCTGCATCTACATCAAAATAAGAATAAAAACATTTCTAGTTTGTGGGGACATGAAAAAAAACCCAAGGTATTATTATAAATGAAGGTTATATGTGATATGAGGCAGTTATCCTCAGAGAAACTTCAAAGTCAAGAAATGAAGATTCTTTAAAAAGACATAAAAACAGTAATAATCAAAACCTCATTTTATAAATAGTTATAAAGACAATAAAAATAAATTGTTCTGTCCTGACATAGTATTAATGGCATCCCCTTTTACTCTTAAAATTGTATGCTAAGTTTAAGTGATTATCCTTTTAACATAAGATATATGGAAAAGATTAGGCTGTACTCAGATAGTTACAACAGAAGGGTAAAATTTGGTCAACCATACATATCCAGGGCTTTGTCTTGTTGACCAGTTGCAACCAATCTCTCCTGTCTGATTATTTGGTTAAGGAAGGAAGTGGAAAACACTATGCTCACATACCTTTATTTTTGTCAGCTGCCTCAACCACAAGTAGCAAAGTACTCTGATCCCTGTCCAGGACCATGTACTTTAATAACACTTGAGATGGCACAGCAATAACAATACACAGCCAATATCAGATACCAAACTGAGAAAGGAAATATTCTTATTAACAAGTGACCTCACCCTCAATTTTCTAGTTAAGCAAGTTTTATTAAAAGCAATGAAGTCTTCAAAAGAAGAACAAAACCTTATCAGAGGTATAAGTGCAGACAAGAGGTCTATTATCTCTGAGAAAACAATCAGTAGACAGTGGTGGACCTCAGAAAACATAAAAAGGTAGTAGAACCAGTACAGAGAGAACATCTAAGGGGGTAAGCTAAGGAGAAAGGTTATGATAAGAAAGTCAGGGAAATCTGGGAAGACAAAATGGTGCTGTACCTCTAGGGCTTATCTAAATTTTACCATGAATGTGAAACCTTCAGTAAACAGCAAGGAGAATACGAGGTTATGCTGTTCTAAGTTCCTTCCCTGTAACATGTGAAATTTTCATCTTGGTATTTTTCTCCTGTTACCTAACTCAACTGACAACAGTTGGAAAGGAAAGAGGCCAGGGTAAAAGGGATACTAATTTCTGACAATGAAGCAGTACAGAGGGCAAGGTACCATGGCTGAAGCGTATTTATTTTTCAGGGGGACAGTGCATTCCTGAACAAGACGGAAGTCTGGAAAGTAAGTTTAGTGCTCTAAAGAGTAGCCAGTCAAATACAAAATGAAAACATGTTACTTTGAAAATTTTATCAGATGATGAACTTTTATCCTTTTGAGTAAATGTTTGCTATCAGGATATCAAACTGTGGACTTTCCAGTGTAATGCAGGTAGTACTTGCAGCATCAAAGCTGGACCCAATTCTTCAAATTCCCACAAGAATTCTCTTTAGTAAGACTAAATAGGAGGGAATACTGTTCTCATAAATATGGAAAAAGAAACAAAAAATGCTTTTAATAAGTACCAACTGATATTCATCTATTTACATCATATACTACTGACTGTACAGATGACCATTCCACACCATTCACAATAATGATATAGATTTCATGTATACCTGCTTTAACTGACTGTACTTCTATCATGATACCAGACAAAGAAATTTACACAAATTAGTGATGTCACTGTTCTGCTTTTCAGTATGCTGTGCCAGAAAACCCCATGTCATGGAAATGGGGGTCTGAAAAAGGAAGCTTTCAGAATATGGGTTTTAACAAATACTCAGCACCCACCACTGCTTGTCTTAAAGTAGGACAGTAAACAAGAAATGAAGTGAGGACTCCAAAAACAAAAACAAACAAACAAAAAAAGCAAGCCGTAATATATCCTACAAAAGGCTGACATCCAAAATATATAAAGATCTCATGTAACTCAACAAAAAGAAAATAGTCACCCTATCAACAAATGGGCAGAAGAGCCAAAAAAAAAAAGGACACTTCTCTAAACCACACAGATGGTCAACAAGAACATGCAAAAATGTTCATCATCACCTGTTATCAGGGATGTGCAAATCAAAGCCACAATGATACCATCTCACGCCTATGAGGATGGTTCAAATAAAAAAGATTAGAAATACAAAGTGTTAGCAAGGATGTAGACAAAAAGAAATGCTTCTATACTGTTGGTAGGAATGTAGACTCTCCCAGTCACTATTGATAACAATTTTGAGGTTTCTCAAATTATCAATAATGGCTGTATCATGACCCAGAAATTCCACTACTAGGTATCTACCCAAAGAATGCAAAACACTGATTGGAAAGCCTATATATGTACTCCTGTGTACACTGTGGCTTTACTTACTTACTTAGTAAGTAATGGAAACAGCCTAAGTGACCTTGTTCAAAAGAGTGTATCAGAAAAATGTAGCATATGTCTGTGACTTCTTTTTTATACTCAGATATAAAAGAATGAACGCCTACCATTTGCAACAACGTGGATGTAGCTGGAGGTGAGGATAATGCTAAGCAAAATGAATCAGAAAGAGAAAGGAATAGGATGGCTGTACTTCTGCATAGAATACAGAAAAATAAGTAAAGGTCAGTTAAACCAAACCAATAATAAACTCTTATCATCTGATTGTAGTATTAAGAAAACAGAGGGAGAGTGTGTTGGTATGAAGAAGCCCAATGCAACATGGTAGATTGTTGCTGGGGCACTGGTGATAGTCTAACTTGCAGAGTTAGAACATATAATCTCCTGTAATAGATACAAAGGTGCAAACCCACTTCACCTCAATAAATAATTTGGGGTTGGGGTGGAGAGCAGTCATAACTACCATGCACAAGGTAAAGAGAAAACATTAAAATTAAGCTCTCAGTGAAGCCTCACTTTTTTATATGGAAAAGATAAAAAGAACATGAAAGTTAGAACCAGATAAACCTGAGTAAAAATACAGGTTCCACTACTAATAGCTGCACAAACATAAACATACCACGTTGAGAGAATTATCTGGAATTCCACATTTCAGATATGAAAATTGAAAATATCCATAATTTCTTTGCTGTCAAAATAATCTCACCACCCAAGTTTAGGAAAATATGATCTAAATTGACATGAATCCCTATTTATTCCATTTAATGTAACTATTTCTGTCACTAGAATATTAATTAAATCTATCTTGAAGTTACATACCCTAAATTTCTTTCTTAAATTTGAAAAATCAGAATTCTGAAACATACTCAACTTCAGGGGCTTAAGATAATGACTTAAACACTTGTAGCTAAAAAGGTTATTTTTGAGAATTTGAGCTAATATATGTAAAGCACTAATGCAGGGCCTGAAACATTAAAACTACCAATTTTTTGCAACCACAACAAAAATACAACTCCACAATTAAGTGGTATGAATTAGAACTTCCAGAGTAGAACCCAGATAATTTTATACCTATTGATAAATAACAAAAACCAGATTTTGCACCTAGATAATAAGCACCCAAGCTGCCCCACCTCTGTCCTGACTGTGTTCACCACATTAAATCTCCTTGCTGTTGAAAGTTTTGGCAAAGTCTATAATGAAATACAAATAAACATCATAAACATGGCGATTACATTTTTTTCTCATGTTTGTATTCCCTTTGATGATTATTAGACAATACCTAATAATAGCAATCACAGTAATAGCATTCACTATGGAGTCTTTACTCTGTCAGGACCACCATAAATGCTTTTAATATAATTAGTTCCTGGTCTCATAAGTCTCTTAGAATGCATAAGTTATTTCTATTTTATGGAGAGGTTAAGTAGTTCGCTGAAGGCTGTGTAAGGGCTGTGTAAGTAATGTTTGAAGATCTGGAATCTATAGAGTTGCTTTGTCCAGTAAAGTAGCCACAACGGCTGTTTACTTTAAAAATAAATAAAATTTAAAAATTCTGTTCCTTTGTCACATAAAAAATAGTTCAAGAACTCAAAACCTTACATGTGGCTATTAGCTAAGCTATTAGAAAGTACAGGTATAGAATATTTCCATTGCTGAGAGAAGTTTTATGAATAGTAGTCTCTAAATACTATATTCAGTATCTATTATGGTACACTATAAATGCTCAGTAAATGCTTTATGACTTAAATAAAACCCCTAAAATGACCTATAGGGATTATTATGTTAGTTATGCATTTAAGATGTATAATATGCATCATTAGCAAGGCATTTTAAAGTAATATGCTTTAAAACACCAAAATTATAAAATACAAATAAGTAGCCTCAAGACTGGGTAATATTTTGCTTTATATTCATATTCATAGAAATTGTGTTAAGGAATCTCAAAGCTTTAGAAATAAATAGATGGGAAATGACTGAAACCCTCTGCCAAACAATAAAGCATACTGGTTTTTTTTTTTTAAAGAATCTTTCAATTGCAAACACTAGGATATGAAACTTACCCTTGTTTCATTAATAGTTCTTATTTTAGTAACATTTCTAATACTCCTACTTCTAGCCTGTATGATATATATTTTAATCCTTTCCAGTGACATAAAATATAACTGATGTACTCTGTAACTAACACAGGGTTGTATGTACTTGCCATGTTCATATTGTGCTATTATTTTTTAATCTGGATGGGAGGGCAGAGTACATTATTGGAAGAGTGGAGTAAAATAGTTTCATATAATTAAACTCACCTTGGATTCTACCAAAGTATTAGGTCAAACAGATTGGAAAATTTGAATACTGTGGGCAATCTGGGTTCAGAGGCTCATTTATAGATGATATGGGCACCTACTAAATTTGTGTGCAAAACTGTGTATATTTCTCTTAGTTCAGGGTTCCTATTATTCAAACCCACAAAAGAACAGGAGTCTGTAGCCTAAAAAGGGTAAAAATGACTATAATCAAGACTCAGTAACACTTAAAGAAACGGACTAAAAAGAATAGTATATACTCCTATGTGTACTAAAGGAAATGTAAAAGTTAAACAGAATTTTGACTGCCTGGATAGTATTTCATATATAGCATTAATCTAGAAATTTTGTTTGAAAATTCAGCATTATACTAATGGGAAATGTTACTAAATATTTAAAAATAATTTCTAATTTTATTTTTAAAAGTCTATTATTCTGTGACATCAGGAAGGAATTTTTATGTTTAAAGTAATTTAAGGAAACATAACACATCATCTTTTTTAAAGAACAAAAGTCTCCCATAATTTAAATCACAGGGTAGTACTCTATTATAAAGTCTTCACTGGCAAAGTATTTGTTTGGTTGAGCTTAATAATTCACATTTACTCTGTTTCTCCTGAGTAATGTGGTCACTTTAAATTAATGCTAATAAAACTGGTACAATACATCATCACAGATATATACATACATCAAGCATAATACACATACATACATAACAAGAATAAACCTGGAAAGAATGACTGAGAGTTTTACCAAATCTTTTGAAGAATTCAAATGTAACCCATAATAAAAAACAGAACAGTAAGGTAAAAGAGCATTACTATATGACACTAGGGAAAATGACCCCTTAATCATCCCAGTCTCTCAGAATCTATTTTATTTAGCCTCACCCTTCCTTGACCATCCTAGGCCAATCCTAGTGAAAACAGTGTTCTTGAAATAGTAAGTATTCACAAATATCCTTAGCAGCTCTTTTAGGCGCACTATATTGTCAGTACAACTCAATGTTAGCCCGGTAAGAACAATAGTTGATGTGATAAAGACAGTGGAACTCTACTTCACAGGCAATAAAATGTCAGAATTTTAAGTTTTGTATATTATGAATATTCCACTTGGCTATTAGCATAAAAGAGAAAGTTAACTAGACAAGGAGACTGCACTAGAAATGCTCATGACATTCTTGTAAAGAGATCCTGAATATAAAGTTAAAAAGTTCCAGGACAAGTCAAGTTCCGATTTTACATTTAAACACTAAAGCAAATAAGAAACTATAAAGGGAGAATAAAAGCACACTTTAACAAGATTGTTTTTCTAGATCATAGCCATGATAGGTTGTCTCATATACTAACATTCAAGTAGATAATCAGATGCAGATACAGTGAAGAGGATATTGGTATACCTCCCAAATTTCAAAAAGTTTTCAGAAAGCTATGTATTTTATAGAAAGTTATGTATTAAGCCAAGAGATATTTGTGTTTCTCTAGAGATTAAAATATATTACTTTCACAAATACATATTCAATATTTAAAACCCAGTATGGTCAGTCCACAGAAGGGGAACAAATATTTATAAAGCATAGCCAAATAATGTACACAAATATATAAGATTTTTATTTAATACATAAAATATGTGAAGAATTCCAGTAATAAAAACAAAATGTAATTGATCCATATGGACTTAATAGGACAGAAACTCCCATCCCTAAAGAAATGCATACACAGTCTTCTCTAGTACACATGCAGCAGCCTCAAAGATAGATTGTATGTGGGAACTTAAAACAAGTCTCAATGAATAAATGAAGACTGAAATCATATCAAACATTTTTCAGATTATAAAGGTATGACGCTAGAAATCAAAGCTAAAAAGAAAACCGTAAAAACCCAAATATGTGGAAACTAAAGAAAATGTTTCTGAATAGCTTGGGTTAATGAAGAAATCAAAGGAGGTCTAAAAAATTATCTGAAGACCATAAAAAATCATTTATAGCATTACAAACCAACATCAGTAAACAAGAAAAATCTTAAACAATCCAATCTTAAATCTGAAAGAATCAGGAAAGAATAAATTAAACCAAAAATCAGTAGAAGAAAGGAAAAATTAAAAATTAAGCAGTAATAAAAAAAAGATTCTTTGAAAGGACAAACAAAAATTATAAACCCTTACATAAACTTACTAAGAATAGAAGTGAAAACCCTAATTCAAAGAATCAGAAATGAGACAAGTACAGCAAATAGTGCAGAAATACAAAAGACTATAGATTACTATGAAAATACATATAAACAGTTGAAAAACTTAAAAGAAATGGACAAATTTTTAAACTCATGTAACCACCCAAGAGTGATGTAGGTTGAAACAGATAGGTAAATGACAAATACCAAAATCAAAGAGTAATCAAAAGTTTCCCTAGAACAAAAGTCCAGGACCAGATGCCTTCACTAGTGAAGTCCATCAGACCTTCAGAGATGATCCAATATATCTATCTTTTCAAACTCTTCTAAGTTTGAAAAGGAGGGCAGAATATTTCCAAACACTTTTCCATGGGCAACATAATCCTGAGCCTAGACAAATACAATATAAAAAACCAAACATACATAGACTGATATCTCTAATGAACACAGATTAAAAATCATCAACAAATCTTGGTAAATCAAATCCAGTAATACATTAAGAGGAAAGGGTCATACCTCATAACTAAGTGGGATTCATTTAAGGGATGCAAGGATGGTTCAGTTAATGCCATTGATACATCACAAAATAGAAACTAAACTACAATCTTATCAATAAATACTGAAAAAGCATTTGACAAAATTTCCAAACCCTTTATGATAAAAATTCCTGATAAAACAGGGACTAGAAAGAACATACATGACAAAGGCTATCTATGACAATGTAAAGGAATATGGAATAAATTAAATAATCATTATTTAGCAACATACATAAAAACTCAAAATGGATTAATAGACTTGGCTACAAGACCTGAAACCATAAAATACATAGGAGAATACACACAGACAAGGAAAACAAATGCCAAAAATAAACAAATGGAAACACATCAAACTAAAAAGTTTTTTGCACAGCAGAAGAAACCATCATAGAACATAAAAGTAACTACAAATGAGATTATTTACATATCATAGATCTTAACTTCTAAAATATAAAAAAGAACTCCCATAACAACAAAAACCAAACAACCCAATAAAAACAATGGGCAAAAGGTTATGAGTAAAAACTTCCCCAAAATAAGATAACAGCTGGCCCACAGGCACATGAAAATGTTCAACATCACCTAATACACCTAATAGAAATAAAGACCACAATGAGAGTTATACCTGAGAGCAGCCTATATCAAAAAGACCAGAAACAACACTGCTTGCGAGGATAAGGAGAAAAAGGAACTCATAGACACTGATGGTAGGAATATAAACTAGTTGCAGCCTCTATGAAAAAAATGTATGGAGCTATCTTAAAAAACTGAAAGCGGTGGTGCAGTGGGTTAAAAAACTGAAAGCAGAAATACCAAATGATTCTACAATACCACTCCTAGATATTGATCCAAGAATACAAAAACACTAATTCAAAAAGATTTATAAATTCCCTAAACAACCTAAACAACAACAACAGATGACTGGATAAAGAAGTTGTGGTATATGTATACTCAATGCAATACTACTCAGCTATTGAAAAAGGTGTTATCTTGTTTTTTGCAGTAACATGGAAACCTGAGGTGATTGATTGATAGTGATTGGCAACTTAAAAATAACTTAAAAAAATATACCAATATTAGTGTGATCAGGGAAAAACAAGTCAAAACCACAATGAGATACCACTCACCAGGAAAGAAATAAAAGAGAAATTACAGGATGTATTAGCAGAGGAAACTGTAGAATTCTAAGCCTTGTACATGCTGATAGGAATGCCAATGTTATAGCTGCTTTGGAAAACATTGGCAGTTTCTCAAAAGAGGAAAATAGCAGCTTTATTTATAAGTTTACATCAAGATAAATGAAAATTTATGTCTACACAAAAAGTTGAATGTTAATGTTCAACTTTTGTAATAATAGCATTAAAGTAGAAAGAACCTAAATGATCATCAATGGATGAATACATAAGATTTTGTGTTAGGACTATACAATGAAGTAACATTCAGCAAAAAACAAAAAACTAAAAACTAAAATTAAGAAAACAGATGAATTTTTAAAATGTGCTATCTTTAAAAAAAACTGTCAGAATCAGAAATTTTATGACTTTAATGTTCAGAAATGGCAAATATATAGAGACAGAAAGTAGGCTGATGGTTGCCTGGGGTTGGGGATGAAGGTGGGATACTTTCAGCCTAACATAATCAACTTTAACAAAATGCTGCTGCTTTAAGATTTTTATACACTTTCTTTGGGCAAAGAAACTCAACAACTGTCAGAAAGCTTTGAACTTTACAATACAAAAAAGTTTTAAAAACCAAATTCTGATACCATTTTTTTTTAACAGTACATGGATGTCTGTAGTCACACTATGATCTTACGAAAACGCCATGTCTAACTTCTGTTAGTGGCATCTCAAATCACAGGCAACAAACAGCTCAGTAGTACAAACATGAAAATTATCTGTAGAATCAGAAAATGGCAGCCTTGTACTGACACAGTACAAAGATATAACTCAAATAACAAATCTAAATTCTGAAAATTATCTTTTTCTGATGGTTTTTGTTACCTCCTCTTTTAATGCATGTTTCCTCTGTTCCAAACATATCTCTTTGGCTCTCATCATTTGCAGAGTCTCCTTAGAAACAGCATACTGGAGTTTTTCCATACGTTCAGCAGCTGCTGCCCATGATGCTTTACCAAATTTCTTCTGATCTGCTCTCATTCGATCGTACACAGCTATTAATAAATTTTTAGGAGACATTAAGACATAAAACAATTTGATATTATGTAATTTGAAAAATCTTAGACTTTTATTAACAATAAATCCTATCCCCGTGAGAACTTACCTATAACAATTCTAAACTATAATTCAGTAATCTTAGAGTCCCTCTAATGTCTTTAGTTAGCAGAGCAAATCATCATTCTCAGAAAAATCTTTTTGAAGATGGAACTTAGTTGTTAGGTAAATTCTAAGTTTTTAACAGTATCCTTTCATATGAACAGTGTTATCAAATCTCAAAGTTTCTACAAAACCTTTATTCTGTGAATACTTTTTCTCTGGCTATATTAGTAGACTTCAGAGACAAACCTATTAAGATTATTAAGATTATTAAAATTATCTAAATCCATGTGCTGAAAGCTATTAGTTTGAATTCTCCAAAAATATAGTAATGCTGTGATGTAGGAAGAAATAAACCCTATTTAATGACGAGCATGGTTCTTACTTGGAGATTAGTTAGAGTAGTAAAAACAAAGTCTAAAGAAGTCACCCACCCACAGCCTTTAAAAATAATGGAGGAAAGGAAAACCTTTTAATTTGTTACAATGTAGTCCTAGTTTAAAAGGTACTTCTTGGCAGTCAAAAAGTTACAGTTAAGTTTATTACTGATAATAGTATGGTAATAGTTTATTTTAGGCTCTTGTATGGTCAACCCAACTATACTTAAAAGTCCAACCACCTTAAGAGAGCAGAGACACTTAAAAGAAGTAGACAGTTGATTGGTACGAAATATAATCTTTAAATCATACACGTTCACTCGTGGTTTCTTCTGTATGTTCAGAAGTAGTGACTGTGATCAGTAATTTTACGCTGCTATTATTTCCTAAATATTTTTTTTTGCAAGGAAGTATAGCTCAGTAAACTTTTCTTCAGAATTTTATGAAATCTTCATTTTATAATTCATATATATTAAAAAGTACAGCTAGGTTTATTAAAAAAAAAAAAAAAGTAGTTTTCTTAATCTCAGCTTCTGCTAAGTCCTCAATGCTTAAATGCGTTTAATCACTTCTGGCGGTTACCTCTATACAGAAATACTGCTGTTTCTTGATTCTCAGTCTTTAAAAATAAATTATTGAGTTTCTGTTGTTACAGATGAGGAATTTTTTATATAGAATCTTTTTCCAGTATAATTTAAAGGCGCTTATGTTTTCTCTGTGGCTTTTAAAACCTATATATAGGAAGGTAATGTTTTCAATTCATAATAATCTTGCTCTAAATGTAAATTTTAGGGTTTCTAATGAATAAAATCTAGTAATACTGGTTGAATAAAGTGATTTACCATTCAAAATCCCTGCCCATCCTTTAAAAACTGCTGTAATATTTGTGCAACCATAAGATCAATGATGTAGTACACTGGAGGAAAAATGCAGTAGGGGATTTGGAGTTAAGGCAGCTTTGAATGAAATCCTCAATACCACCCATAACTGATGTGTAACATTGGAAAGGAAACTTGTCTTTGGGCTTAATTTTCTTGGTTGAAATAAGTAAGGAAATGAACAAATGTAAAGTATTCAAATGTCTCTTCCACTTCACATGGCACCATTTATGAGTTCATGTCTTTTCTCTCATGTATATACTACCACAGATACTCATTTTTATATATGTTGCATTATTTTCAAAGTATGTTTCAATATATCTCTGCCTGCCCAGTAATCCTGCAGGATAGGATTATAGGCATTATCAATACCTGAGATGTTTTGGTAACTTAAAAGCAAGGTTATATATATACCTATACTAGTAGAGCTGAAACTGGTACCCCATTTAAACTATCATAACAGTTCTGGTCAGAAATATGTTAGGTTGGGAAGGAAATTATTATTCCTTTCTAACTAAGGAATTACAATATTGTCTTAAGATAAATGATACGGGTTACTTGATAAGTCATAATACATTTCCTTATAAAGGTACAATGATTATAGTATATAAACAAAGAAGGCATATTAGTGGAAAAAAGAGTCCAGAAAGCAATTGAAAAGTATATGAAAGAATTTTAGTAAGTTTAACTTTTGAAGAAACAGAAATTTACTTCAGAGGATATTACAGATTAAGTAACATAATAAAAACACTGATTGAAAAAGATACCTGCACCCCCATGTTTATTGCTGCTTTATTTACAAATGGAAAAACATGGAAGCAGCCCAAATGCCCAAAAGTAGATGATTGGATTAAAAGGATGCGGTACATATATACAATGGAATATTACTCAGCAACCAAAAAAAGAAACACATGTCTTTTGCAGCAACTTGGATGGACCTGGAAAAGATCATGCTTAGTGAGATAAGCCAGAAAGAGAAAGAAAAATACCGGATGATTTCGCTCACAGCAGGAGTATAATGGACCAGGCGAGAAAATAATAAGAATAATGAACAGCCATATACCAGAGACATTTTGTGGGGGTGGAGTGGGGAATGGGATCAAAAATGGGGTGGTGGAGAGGGAAGTGGAGGGAAGTGCACGGGACTATGGTGATGGCACACAGGTGACTTGGTGATGGGAAATGATGTAAAAATAAACTAAGAAAAACAAATGACACACATATACATCCAAACAAATATAATAAAAGTTACACTCAAACTTAAAGTAGATGATCTTTACAGATAAAATTTGTATAATATAAAAACAAAGCAAATTGAAATTTAGAAAATTTAGATAAAAGATAATTACAACAAATGTCAGAGTTAATAATTACAATGTAAAAAAATCATTGATTATAAAGAGGTCTCATATCTCAATGGGAAAAAAAGCATCAGAGAAAAACAGGTTTTGAAATGTATTAGTTAGAAGAAAAGGACATACAAATACCAAATATTACATGAAAACAAGCAAAAAATATGATTAAAACCAATAATAACCAAAAGAAAAGCAACTTTTAACAAGATGATCCTACTTTTTATGTTTTCCAGTCAGTTTTATTTTTTAATGGCAATGCCAGGTGATGCTGAGGAATGAAGGAAAGTATTTTCTTTCAGCACTGGCATTCTAAAGGAATACATTAAAAAAAAAAAAAGCTTCAAGTGAAGTGTTTCGAAAACATGGTCTTGCTGAAAAAAAAAAAAAAAAAAAAAAAAAAACCTAACACTAAACTATATTGAGGTGGACAAATTATTAAAATAACGGATAGCAGTGATTTTAAGCTGCATATCCAGGAGTCTTGGAAGGATGTCTGTGGCTAGGAGTTGGAAGGAACAGATCTTCAAAGACCTTGACCTGTTTGTTCACTTGCATATATTTGCATCTGTCCTGATTTGCATCTATCCTCTGTAAAGGGCAGTCACTTAAGTATGTTCTTTTCTTGAGCTCTGACTGCAACATATCATCAAACTTGAAGGTTAGCTGTGAGAAACCCCAAATTTGTCATGAGTTGGTTAGAAATATGGGTGGCCTCAGGACTCCCCCAAATTTTTGTAAGTAGCATCTAAAGCAAGAGTAATCTTGTTGGTTGCAGAAGCCAACAGTTAACAGTTATCATCCATCATAATAACCCACTATTATTTTTTTAGTATGAGGTATATATAAACACATTATTTCCAGAAAAGACTGAAAGCATATAACCTTGATTTGTTAGTAGTAGTCCTTATTTTTAACTTAACGTATTATGAGTGGCCTTCATTTATTTTTCTGTATAGCCACTGGAAACAATCATTCATTCCAAAAATACCTAATAAGGATTATTTTGCTTGGAAGCCTACCTTTTTGAGCTTTAGCAGTTATTTCAAAATATTTGACAGTAAGATCTTGAATAGACAGCACAGCCATGTGAGCTTTCCGCTGCCAATCAGCATCTTCTTTTTGAAGACTTTCAATTCTTCGGGGACCCAGGTAATCATTCTCCATGGAAATCTTTATAAAGAAGAAAGAAAATCTCTTTTATTCATTCCTTAAACATTTGCTAACTGCTGTTATATCAGCATTGTGCTTAGGTAAATAATATTTGGTTTTTGCTGCTCTAGAAGCAATTACAAAACAAGAAAATTAAAAGAGCAATGCTTTAAGATATATGGCATAGAACTGGGTTCCTCTTTCCTCTGCTTACCTTCTTCACTTTCAGCCTTCCTACTCCACATACAAAGGATATATATTAACAGATTATTTTAGGGAGATCATGAGAAATATATTTCCCTCTTTATAACTTTTCAGGTTAAGAATTATTTGCCAATAAAATATTTAATAACTGACAAAGAAAATTAAAAACTCAGGTTTTAAGATTTGTCATAATAAACATCAGCAGATCTATATTACTAAAAGATTCTGAACTAAAAAGTCCTGATAAAAATCAACTATGCATTCCTTACAAGATTCACAACAAAAACAAAAAGGAAGTTGAAAATCAAATGATAAAGAAGGATATACCAAGGGAACGTCAAAGTGAAATTCACAGAAGTGACCATATAAACGTATATAAAGGCACAACACAGGTATAATAACATGGGGGGGGGTGGCAGCAGGATGCAATCTAGCAGTAGTCACTGACCATTTCTATACTCTACCTTGCTCTAACACATATAGAGAAAAGACTTAAAATGAGAAGTTAAGACCATATTATGATGAGGGGAAAAAAAAGAAAAATGTTGGTCCACCAATGCCACACTTTAAAAGCTGATCAAGTACCATAAGTAACACTAAAAGTTTTATAATAAATATCTAATACTGATTTTTCCCCAAAAGAAAGCATAGATTTTGTTTTTCATTAGCCCATTCCCTAGCATGACCTAGGCAATCTAAAGTATTTCCTGAATGAATAAAACACATTTTTTTAAAAGATTATTTATGTATACAGAACTGGGGTATAGATCAGAGGTGCAGGGGCAGTGAGGGTATTCACCAGGGACAGAGTGAAGAGCAGAACAGGCCGACTGATGAAGTACACTGCTGAGGGGGACAGCGGGCAGGCCAGGAGAGGTCTGCGGTGCCATGTGGATCACCTCCGGGGCAGGATAGAATACATGCTGAAGCAGCTTTAGCTTCTTAGTGTTGTGCTTTAACCCACTGTGCCACCAGGGAGGGCCCCATACGTGTTTTAATGACAAATAAGAGATGATAAATATCTTGAGGTATTGTACTAAGAGTAAATAGAGAAAAAATATGGAACTAAAGAATTAGACTTCCAGGTAGCCCCTTTGTTTTTTACTGTATTGAAATGGGAGATGGTAGAACAAATTGAGTGGTAATAAGAAGTACCCAGCAGAGAGAGGATCTATAGATGTAGTTAAGACATGGTACAAATTAAAGTATGGTGGTCCTTTATTAGAACAGAAGAAGTGAGTACTGGTGCAGTGATTTGTAGTGATTAGTTCTTAGTAAACAGAGACGACAAGTCCCCTAGTGGGTACAAAGAAAGACAGGTTTTGATGATCTTTCCTTCTCTATGTGAAGAAAAAGATCCTGATTTCTTTTTGTTCTAAGCTTTTTTTAGATCAGCTAGAAAGAATGATGCTTGTAGAAAAAGTTGATTCATAGCCCTCTAATTACCAATTTTCTTGGTGGTAAATGTTTTTAAAACAATTGCTTTGAAAGTCTCTTGGGAAATCTCCACACTGTTCCTCTCTCAAGTCATGGATATAAAATAGAGTCAATCTCAATGTGTCCATTAAGAGCTGACCAGGAGTAGTATATAAGCATTGTTTTCTCCCAAAATTTTGTGCACAGTCTCATGATGGTAACTTGTTCAGTGATCCAAGGTTACTGGTAAGTGTCCTGTAACTGAAAGTCAGGGACTGCTCCATGTGTGGATGTGTGTATATTTCTGAAATGAAAGCTTGAAAAAGTCAAGAAAGAGGGGAAAAAAGAGCCCAGGTAAGAATAAGTTGCTGCAGAAAGAGCGCACACAGAATACTGGCAGGATAACAAATCTGACTCATTAAATAAATACTAAAAATAAGACAACCCAGAGTTAGTGTGTTCGTGGTGAAACAGACACATACTCATACACTGTTGGTGGAATTATAAATTAATTAAATCTGTCTTGGAAAGTACCTCATGATATATTTTTTTTTTTAAAGATTTATTTATTTGTACATACAGAACTGGGGTACAGGCCAGAGGCTCAGGGGCGGTGAGAGG